GTGTGTGTGTGTGTGTGTATGTATGTATGTATATATGTATGTATGTGTGTGTGTGTATGTATGCATTCTCCTCTTTATTTCTTCAAGGTAAGCTCCTTAGGGTGAGATAACAAGGTTACACTGAGTCTGGCAGCTCATGCCTGTAATCTCAGCATCTGAGAAGCTGAGACCAGGAGGATTGCAGTGAGTGTGAGGCTATGCTGGATTATGGATGAGAATTGCTATTTGCCAAGGGAGGGTCACTTTTCTTTTGGAAAGTGATAAGTAACTGTTACCCATACTATAATGTATGGCTTCACACTCATGATTATATGTGCAGCATATAGAATCAGGGATTATTGAAGCATTTATCTAATTATTCTTTATCAATAAAAACTCAGATATCCTGGTAAGAACCTGATTGATCAGAGAAGTGTCTAGTGATCTCCTCTCTCTCTCCTTCCTCAATCCAAAAAGGGCCAAGCCTCTTTCTAAATCCCTCCCTGCCTCTTCCTGTGTCTCTCTATATGTCCAGGGTCCCCTAAAAACCCTTTATGCCTAATTTTTGTCAGCTAGTAGCTAGCTCTGTCATCTGATTCAAGGTAAACTTCATTGGCAGTCTTGGGAGTATCAAAGTTCGATCAGAATGTCCCCTAACATGTTATCATTGTTAAATTTATTTATTTTATGTGTATGAGTGTTTGCCTGCATGTATGTATGTGTACCACATAAGTGCCTGGTGCCTGTGGAGGTCAGAAGTGAGTATTGGATCCCCCGGAACTGGAGTTATAGGTGGTTGTGAGCTATTGTGTGGATGCTCGGAACGGAACCTGAGACTTGAGTAAGAGCAGCCAATGTTAGTTAACTGCTGAGCCATCTCTAGCCTAGATGATGATGATGGCACAAGAACATAAAGTTGTAAATAGATGGGTTGGGGGTTCCTGGTAGTGTGAGGTGGATATGATCCAAATACATTGTATACATGTATGGAATTTACAAAGAATAAATAAAATATTTTAAAAAGTCAAAACAACAACACAAGAGCTGTAAATGAGTTAATGGCTGTTGCTTTGCAGTAACATCCCAGAATGGTTATCCTGATTTAAATTGTGACAGATGCCAAATAAGTGCTCCCATTTTGCCTTGGAACATTCACGGCTTACCACTGTTCCAAAGGCATCATTCCACTCTCCAAGAATCTTAGAAATGGCCGTGAGAACGAAGGCTTTCCTCTCCCTGCACAGCCTGCCACCAGGCCAGCCGTGTCTAGTGGCTGTGGAGTCTCAGACATGAATCTACAGTGACTTTTCTCTCCCTTGCTGTACTGTACATCTTTTGGCCTCCACTCCATCACATGGAACATTGTACTTATAGCCAGAGAAAAGGAAGCAAAGGACAGAGGTGGTCCAAATGGTTGCAGTTCCCAATGGAGGGCAATAATTCGGTTGTTGACCAAGTCACAGGCTTCTACCAAGTTTTTTGAAGACAGATCAGGGGAAGGGACTGGTGAGATGGTAACAGTTGCAGGGACAGTGTTCTGATTCTGCACAGTGACTCAAACAGCTCGCCTATCGAGTCAGCCCTGGCACCTGGAGTGTGGACTCCTGCCTTAGCATCTGTGGTGCTGTCTGTAGGAGGAAGGGCTTTGAAAGATAAAGGAAGAACACTATACTCATCCTAGGGAAAAGCGCCAGAGGACAGACTTTTGAAATGGCAGGTGTAATGGACAAAGCTTTAGGAATCTTGTTTGGATTCAGATATTCACTCTGCATGGAGAAGTTGACTCAAGATTAAGGAACTAACTTCCTTCCACCCCACTGACTCTCTTCTGATTTCATTCACTGTTATTTATTCTCCAATCATCCAGAAAAGGATCTAATGCACAATACCTTTGTCCAGAAGGGAGAGTGGAATTGGAGTGTCTGGCTTCTCTCAATCCTGGTGACGAGGCGTGGCTAGCCCTGTTGGGGGAAATGTGTAGATATGCCTTCAGAGTATAACTGGAGGACGGTGGTACCACAAAGAACTCAAGAGATAAGGGAGCTATTGTCAATGATAAGGTTCAAGTACCCTCTTCTGGGAGAGATTATGAATATTTTTAAAGAGAGTGATCACTGCCCAAAGGAATATAAGAAATCAACACCATTTTTTTTCCTACCCTTTAAAACAGGGAATTGATTGGCAAGCTCGAGGTTTGAGCCATCTCTGCTTGGGATTTGGGAATGTGTGTCCCTGCCATATCCTTGGAGAAGAATGAGGAACACGTGGTTGGATGCTACTGTGGTCGGCTGTAACCAGGCTTTTTTCAGTTTGAAGGATGGTCTAGTTGAGGCAGAGCACTCTGTCCTTAAGGCTGGCTTTGTCATGCTCAGTTTCCTATCTATGACATGGCCAAAGTTGGGTGGCCTGGAGGGGGAGGGGTATGTCTTATAATTCAGAAGCCCAGAGAAAGCTCTGATGGCCGGATGGAGATTTTAAAATCATCCAGAAGCCTGGGATAAGAAGCTTGAAACAAATAGATGAAGCTAAAATGTCATGGTTCTGGAAAAATAGCAACAGTCTAAATATAGATTAGAACTGTTCACAGGAAAAGCTGTGGGATAATGAGATACAGGAGAATGAGATTGAAGATTCAGAGACATCCAGCATCCAGATTCCGTGCAAAGACACTTGCCTGTGGGGGTCTGGCAGATCCCAAGGTGCCCCTCCCCTCCCCGTGCCCTATGGAAGACCTAGTGAGGGTGTATTAGAGCAGGTATCCGGGACAGGAAGCAGACTGGAAAGCAGGCTACTGGAAAGCACAGGTGGCTTCCCTTACAGAGTAGGGGATGTGCAAGAATGTGCAAATCTCAGCAGAGATTTTAGGAGATGGCCGCTAGAATTGGTACTCTGAACTCTCCTCCAGTCTTCGAGGCCGGTTCAGAGATGCTCTGAACATCTAACAGGCTTCTCTGAGCATCCTGTAAAAACACCAGCCTGCCACTCATTGTCTCCTTCCACTGTCTCTGCAGCACTTTTTCAAAGGTCTAGTTCCCAGGCGAATCCCTGTGCTCCTTGTTTCCAGGCAGTTTTTGAGGCAAGGTGATGTGGTGTGCAATGCCGGACTGTGGAGTCTGATCACCTGGGCTAAGTACTGGTTCTGTTTCCTTATAGCCATTGAACTTTAGGCATGCCTCTATGAACTCTTTTGATCTCTTTCTTTCTTTCTTTCTTTCTTTCTTTCTTTCTTTCTTTCTTTCTTTCTTTCTTTCTTTCTTTCTTTCTTTTTCTTCCTTCCTTCCTTCCTTCCTTCTTCCTTTCCCCTCCCCTTCTCTCTCTGGAGTCAGGCTCTCACTTTATTGCTCTGGCTGGTCTGGAACTCATTATGTAGACTAGGCTGGCATTGAACTCACAGAGATCTGTCTGTCTGTGCCTCCTGATTGCTATCATTAAAGGTGGCATGAGTCACCATGTCAGTCTCTCTCTGAGCTCTTAATTTATACCTGCCTGATCTAGGAACTGGTGGCTAGTAACTACTATTTCTCTGGGTTGCTGTTGAGTGTTGAATGGGTTAAGTACCACAAAAGGTTTAGAAGGATGCTTAGGTGAAATATTTAATCACTTTCTGTTTACTTGCATTTATTCACTTTGAATTATTTATTTACCTTCTTGAGATTATAATTACATTATTTATCTTAAGGTGGGGAGTAAGGAGTTCACTAGACCCAAGAGAAATGATAAATGGGTGTTTTGTTGGGGAACAACTTATACAGCTAATAGGAAAGAACTACTGCAGCTTTCCTGCTCCAGAAGATACAGTCTCTACCTCCCAATGCTCTCCTCACCCCAAGAGAGAGTGCCCCCCCATCCACCTTCCAGCAGTCATATCCTCACGAGAAACCACACACAGATGGGTGTGGCCACTACTGCAATTTTCACCAGCAAGGCGAGATGCCCCTACAATGCTCCTTTCCCTTTCTTCCTTCCAAACTCTTCATGATTTCTTTTTTTAATTAATTGTTAGTGTGTGTGTGTGTGTGTGTGTGTGTGTGTGTGTGTGTGTGCATCCCTGACTATATAAATATGTGTATTTTCAGGACTGACCACTTGGTGTTGGATAACCGATGGTGTGCTCTCCCCTGGGGAAGACTGTTTCTCTTGCTCCCAGCATTCCTTAGTTGCCTGTAGAACTTTGTGTAGAGTTGAGGTCTCCTAAGCTTTCCCTTGTCCATGTTATTTATCTTTTGAGACACAGTCTTGCCATGTAGCTGAGGCTGGCCTTGAACTTGCAGTTCTCCTGAATCAGCTTTTCATGTGCTGGAACCGCAGGCAGACACACAATGCTCAGCTGTTTTCTGATATTTAAAGTTGTCCTTCTCACCATATATGACAAAGGAGATTCTGTTTTCTTCCTATCTTAGGAAAAACAGGGCCTCTGCAGACCTTTGAGGTGCACACGGGCTGAACCGGTGGAAGCGTCAGAATGCTCTGTCCTTTTGGTGCGAACTGGAACTTGCTCCTGATCAGAGTCTTCAGGGGCAGACACGCTGCCCTGGTTGGTAACAGCAGGATGCATTGGCGCTGCTGAGGGGGCAGCTGCTGGGCCCTCGAGACCTAGACTGGTGGGGCTCTGCTCTTGTTGGAAGGCTAGGCCTTCCAGATTCTCTATAAGGAAGTTACCTGATGGGCTGATAAAGGTTGTCAGGAAGACTGTGACTGAGGAACAACTCAGGGCCAGGCCCAGCTGGGCTTCTCTGAACACAAATAACAGAACCAGCATCAGGGATTACAACTCTCTGTGAAGCTGGAGATTCGCAGTCAGTGTGATGGTCAGTGTTCAGTGTCAAGTTGACTAATTTAGTCACCTTGGAGACACACTGCTGTGGAATAATCCTTTTGTACACTGTGAATATGTATTACTCTCATTGGTTAATAAAAAGCTGACAGGAGCTCTTTGGGTCTCTTTGGCCTCTGTGGCAGGAGCAAGATGACGAAAGGAACGTCATCCTCTGGGAAACATGACAATAAGATATACACATTGTGCCTCCGCTGTGGCTGTAAGGCCTACCACCTTCACAAGTCCACCTGTGGCGAATTCGGCTACCCTGCCAAGCGCAAGAGAAAGTATAACTGGAGTGCCAAGGCTGAGGTGAAACACTACGGGACTGGGCGGATGAGGCACCTAAAAATTGTCTGTCGAAGATTCAGACATGGATTCCATGAAGGGACAACACCTAAACCCAAGAGGGCAGCTGCTGCAGCAGCATCCAGTTCATCTTGAGGATTTCAGTCAGTCATAAAATAAAATGTTCTGGTTTCGAAAATGGAAAAACAAAAAACCTGACAGGCTGGTAGCCAGGCAGGAAGTATAGGTAGGATAACCAGACACAGAGGACTCCGGGAGGAGGAAGAGCGGAGTCAGGGGAGACGCTAGCCCTTGGCAGAGCAAGCAGGATGAAGTAACAAGCCATGAGGCACGTGCCCAAACTTAGATGAGAAATAGGGGATTACAGGCAAGGTGGGGTTCTATAGCATGCCAGAAGAGGACTTGTCCCCCACCAAGACTCACAGGAAGTGGATCTGTACTCCAAAACCCAGGTTTTAGCAGTGGTATTGGGAGGTGGAGCCTTTCAGAGTCCTTTAGCCCACAGAACTACTGCACCCTCATCAGTGGTTCTCAGGGCTCGCTTGCTAACTTGTTCTTCTGTGCTTTCTTGTCAGGATGCTGCAAGACGTCTCTCATTAGAACAAATGCTGCTTCCTGGACCTTGAACTCTCAGGCTCCTGAACTGTGAGAAAATAAATTCCCGTTCTTTATAAATTAACCAGTCTCTGGTATTATGTTGTAGTAGTCCAGCCATGCCAAGTAGACAGTTGGCATGATGGCAAGAAGCCTTGAACAGAGGCAGCCTTGACACCTCTGCCTAGACATGACCTTTCCTTCGTCATTAGTGAAGAATGTGCTGTGCAACATTTGCTGCCTATCCCTTGTCTTGTCTATCTGTCCATCTAATATAAAGAAAAAATTACTTATTTATTTACAGTGTGTATGTGCATGTAAACACACAAGCACATGCATGCACGTGCTTTGATGCATTTGTGGAGGTCAGAGAACAACTCCTTCCATAATGTGGGATTCAGGTACGAATCTGACTCTCAGGTAATTAGGCTTTGAGGCCCCTGCCTTAACCGCCAAGCCATCTCCTGTCTTGTATTGTCTTCCTAGATACTCCTGTATACTTGCTATATTGTCTCTGTAGTTACTTCTCCTTCCTCTGCAGTCTGGGTAAGCCATCTCTTTCTCTTTGGCTGGGTACTTCAGGGCAACCTCTTTTCCTTTTTTCTTTTGTCTTTTCCTTGTCTTCTTTGTTTTGTTTAGTTCATGTGTAGGCTTTTAAACATTATCATGGATATTGTATCTATGGGAGGGAAAGGAGAGCTCCATATCTGGGGTAAAATTAAGCACAGGGTGCCGGGGTGGGGGAAGGGGCAACCAGGCTTTAAAGCTCTGGAAGTCACCTTCAGAAAATTAAGCAAGTCTTTTTACTTTTTTGAAGCTTGAGGACAACTTTATTAGAGTTTAAAAGTAAAACAACAGTGTGGCAGCTGCCAGAGGAAGGAAATGGACACAAGGAAGAAAGAGCAGAGAGTTCTGTGGGGGAGGGGAAATAGCAGTCAAATGACAGACAGTCCATATGACAAGCAGTGTGAGCCTCAGAGAGAAAGAGGAGGCCAGAAGTGTCCAGGCTCTGTGGGACCAGAAAAAGGAGCTGGAGGAAGAAGTTTGCTCATCTGAGGACTCACACAAGTGTGCAGACTTCATGGAGCCACGTGATTGCTCTGAAAGAGACTGCCTCCACACACTTCTTAAACAGCTTTTATGAATTCTGTAGCATGGAAGCTGAGTGAAAGCACTCAGCAGTGGGCAGAAAATCTTTATTGGAAGAAAAAGAAATAGTGAAATAAAAAAATTATTCTCAGGCATTCTCCTAATATAATTTTATTCATTATTAAAACATGATATATGGATGCATGCATGTATGTGTGCATATGTGTATGTATGTCTTTATTATGTATCATGCATATACGTGCATGTACTCGTGTGCATGTATATATGTACAATGTGTGTACATATTCATGTGTGAGCATGTATATGAATGCACCTGTGTATGTACATATTTATAAATGTATATGTTTGTGTGTATATTTGTGTAGTGTTTGCACATTTGTGTGAAGGTGAAGAATTTGACCTCAGGTCTCTTCTTCTGTTGCCCTCCATCTTAGTTTTGGGGACAGAGTCTCCCATGGAACCTGGTGGGCACTGTTTTGTCTAGACTGGCTGGTCTATGAGCCCTGGATTAGCCTGTCCACCCACTCCCATTCTCAGGCGTTAAGTGTGTGTCACCACGTCGAGCGTAGGGATCTGAACTTAAGTCCTTGTCATTTCCTCAGCCTTCAAATATTGTTACACTAATTCATAGTATCAGCCTCATTTTTTTCTTTCTAATAAGTTTTGATTTTTGAAAAGAAAATGTGTAGCATTGCAGCTACTGCACAGTATTTCAGAATTTTGTGTGGAAATCCATTTTGGACATGGCCACATTTTATAAACTACCTCCAAAGGAAAATGCAATTTAAATCCATGGAAGGGGCATTGACTTGGATGGAACACGGCCCCCTTGAACAGGAGACTGACAATGGGAGCTTTGCTGAACAGCCCTCCGTGAGTCATGAGGCTGGCTGAGGCTGAGGGAAGTCTGTCTCTGGCACCATGCAGGGTCTGGGGGAGAGGAATGCTGCTTTTACAGTTGAGTCCAAGGCTTGACCCACTCACTACATCAGGAGAACTTCAAGCTGGGATGACACTGAAAAAGTCAGGTCTTTAAATGGACCACTTATCTCATCCTTTCTCTTTCATCTTCGGGAGCTCTCTGCCTGTCCTCCTGTCACAGTGCTTCATGGCCACCTCTCCAGGCTCCTGTCTCTCTTCGTCTGTCTGGGGCACTTCACCGCATCAAGGAAGCACTTCACCCACTAAAGTCATGTGGTAGTCTGGGAATAGATGTAACTTTGAAGGGTTTGGCAACAGGGACCCTGGTTCTCCATGAGAGCAGCTGGTGCAGGTGAAATGAAATGGTGCCCGTGGGAGCTTTGTCAGCTCTGGTCAATGTTAGGACATTTATCATCATATATGACAGTAATCTTAGGCAGGAAAATGAGCAAGGGGAGTACTCTATTATTTTTCAACCCACTCATTTCTAATTGTATCGAGATCATTTAGTTTGAGATGGTTTGCTCCATAGAAGGAACCTGGTGGGAATGAAAGGGACTTTTAGTTTCTCAGCCTGGAGAATGGGTCTTGAAAAAAAAAAATCTTGTGCACTTTTCTCACTCAGGGTTTGGGTAAAGGGCATTAGAGTGCCCAGAAATGTGGGGCCACAGACAGATGGTGGGTTCACAGGGGTTACAGTAGGGGTGTGAGAAAGGCAGTGCTAGCCAGTCAAGGCTGTGAAGCCTCCTCAGGTAGCCAGGCACCAAATTTGAGCCTGTAGAGGTATAACTCTTCTCCTTGGCTACCCCTTGGCTGGGCATGACTTTTGACAGTAGCTTTTTCTGCAGAACAACAGAGGCATGTGCTTTTATGTACCTCTGCATCTCAGTGTCCACAGGGCAAGGCTGGGGACGTGTCCACCTCTGCATCTCAGTGTCCAGTACAGGACATGGCTTGGGGGGGGTGTTCAGGAAGTAGGAGGCATAGCTAACCCTGAGACCTTTAGGTGTGACTAAGACACTTTCTTGTCAAGTCTTCCTTCCATGGCCCCTTCTTTAGTTGCCTCCTTGCTCCTGACCTTATTGTCATAGTCTCAGTGTGCTCTGTATTGTAGAAACCTGGAGCTAACTCTTCCCTGAGCTCTCTCTGGGTCCAGCATTCTCTGTTCAGGATCCTTCTTCCTCTTCATTCAGATGTCCAGGTGACCGGCATCTCTGAGGGGACACCAGGTGCTATTTTCCCTCACTTCCTCTGGAAAACCATCTCTCTTCCATAGCCATTGCACTTAGGTGGTCCTCTTGGACTCTAGATTGAGTCATTAGGATGCAAGTGACAGAGCTAACTTACCTATCTGTGGCTATCAACTGGTTGTAGTTTATCTACGACTTGGTTCAAGCTGGTTGTAGGGTGTCTATGGCTTGTTTCAAGCTGATTGTAGGATGTCTTGGCTTGGTTCAAGCTGGTTGTAGGATGTCTATGGCTTGGTTCAAGCAGTAACTACAGAAAGCACTGCTCCAGGGAGGAGGGAACACGGATCCTTATGGGAGTTGAGCTCTGCTACTGGATAGATTGGCTGAGTTTCTCCTTATCAGCTCACCGGTCAGTGAAATAGCCTGCTGACACTCCAAACAATGTTCTAAGCTACAAGAGTTATCAGCATAGTCATTAGCCCCTCAACTCTAGGGAGAGCAAGGTTGGAAAGACCTCTTAATGCATTACTGAGTAACCAGTTTATCTGGATTGAATAAGGGGAGGAGACTTGGTAGTGGTGTGAGTCTGTTCTTCTCTGTCCCTGTCTACTGTCTTGCCTCTTCTTTTCTCCTTCAAGTCACTTAGAAGACAGCTTAAAACAAGAACTTAATACTCACGTTTTAATTTGGAGGAGCAAACCCAAGGTATTGAGGATGATAAACTGGAAGAGGGCCAAGGAGAACAGGAGACAGCATGAGATGGCCTGCTTCATGACAAGCTGAGGGGTGGCACAGTGGGCATGTCTACCATCTACTTGGGTAGTTTCCTCCTAGTCGGTCACATTTGGGGAAAATGGTACCTTGCAGAAATTCACAGCATGGGGGAGAAGAGAGAATTTATCTGTTCAGATTCTCTGTTCCATTTGATGATTGTGATAGTTTGAATAAGAATGATCCCCACAGTCTCATATATTTGAATGCTTGGTCACTAGAGAATGGATTAGAAGGATTAGGTGGTGTGGCCTTGCTAGAGGAAGTGGATCACTGTGGGTAGGTTTTGAGATTTCATAAGCTCATGCCAGGCCCAGTCTCTCTGTTTTTTTTCTTTCTACCTGCAGATCAGGATGTAAGTTCTCAACTACTCCAGCACCATGTCTACTATGCCAGCAACCATGCTCCCCATTGTGATGATATTGGACTAAGTCGCAGAAACTGTAAGCAAGCGCCAATTAAATGGATTAAAATTAAATCAATTCCTGACAAACCACTTGGTGGCTCACAACTATCTATAATGAGATCTGTTGCTGTCTCTGGCATTCG